TTTGTGTGTTTCCTCATCTGTTCAGTGGGTGGAGTATGAGCACATGTCCTGGGGTAATGTATAGAGTAGGACAGTCATCCTTATCCTAGCAAACAAGATTTATCTGAGGGCCATTCAGACAGAAATCAAATCTATGTAGACATGAAACGACTGGCAGTGATTTTATCTTCTCCCCACCGCCCCCTGTGGTCCGGGCTACAGGAGCCAGCTGGTTTGAAGTCTATTGCTGGTCGCCTTGGCCCAACATCATTTGTCCACTGGCTTTGCCCCAGTGCTTGACAGTCCCTTGATTCTCACCCCTTGGTATTTAGGGATGGTTCTTCAAATGTTGTCTGGGAAATGATATATGATCTACTAAGCCCTGGTTAAAATGATCTTACTGGACTAGACTGCAGGTTACCTGCTAAGTCTTGGTGAGAATGAGCATGGCAGGGCTCCTTTTCTTGGGGCAGAAAGTGGTGGAGAGGTATGGAGGGGACAGTGGGGGGCTCCATCGTAAGGGAGAAGGGCGGGAGACGGAAGTCTGATGACAAGTCACTAGGGGTATCTATGGTTTTTATCTGCCTGGATTTCATTCTGGAGAATTACCCTTCTGGTCTTGTTGAGAGGTTTAAGTATCTCCTCGAGGGAAAGGATATGTCTATGCTCTGAGCTGGGCCAGTCAGATGCTGTCCCTGAATCTTGAGTAGTGAGACATAAAGACCTAAAGACCTAAAGACATAAAGACCTAAAGCATTTCCATGGCATTCACTCCTGCCACCTAGATCTGTCCAGATCTCTGGCCTTCCAGAGCCTAGATCTTCAACTTCTTTTGCTGCCTTTCAGTGAATTTACTTCTCTCTCTTTTCTCCTCTGCTTAAGTTAGCTGGATTTGGCTTCTGCTCCTTGACACCAAGAATTCTAACATCAGTGCATGAAAAAAAAAAAAAAAAACAAAACAAAAACAAACAAACAAACAAAAAAAACAAACCAAAGAAACAACAAAAAAAACCCAACCCAAACTGGTTTAATACCATAATTTAACCTGCTCCCTGCTGTGTCAGAGAGAAGTAGCTAAGCCACATTATTGAATGCACTATTGGGAGGCACTTATAGATCTAATATTTCCAGTGGACTTTGGGGGCTGGTCTCTTTTAAGCCTGCAAGGAATAAAGTGCCCTGTGTGTTCTTCAAACTTCTTCCTGGACAGCTTGGATTTAGTAGGGAAAAAAGTGGTATATGGAGGGGAGAAGTTTGGCCTATTTCTTCCTCTTTTTGTCTCTTGTGTGCCACTATTTAACGTCATACTGTTATACAGTATACATTCTTCAAGAGGAGGTAAAACATTTTATCTCCCCCCTTACAAAAATGCACAAGGCTCTTATAGAAAATACCAAGACTCAAAAAGATGAAAACAAAACTCATAATCTTACCACCAGATTACTTCTTAACATTTTGCTGTGATTTCTTTCTTTCTTTTTTTTAAGATTTTATTATTTATTTGTCAGAGAGAGAGAGACAGTGCAAGAGAGCAAGCACAAGCTGGGAGAACATCACGCAGAGCTAGAAGCAGTCTCTCTGCTAAGCAAGGAGCCTGATGTAGGGACTCAATCCCAGGACCTTGGGATCGTGACAGGAGCTGAAGGCAGACGTTTAACTGACTGGGCCACCCAGGTGTCCCTGCTGTGATTTCTTACAGTTCTTATGACCACACACATATAAATAAATTCTACTTTAAAAATTGGATTATAATGTCTTTTAAGCTTAAAGTAACTTAATACAGTAATGTTCTTAGGTCATTAAATTATTTCATGGTTGCACAGCGTTCTTGCCCTGTTGTATACTCATTATTCACATTCTTAGTTCATCTAAAATTTCGCGTTCTTTTAATGTACAAAAACCTGAGAGTTAAGAATCACTTTTCTTATCTGAAATTGGTATACGCGTTGTGGACGTAGCTCAGTGTGAGCCAGAGCCCACACTAATGTCCAGTACACATCATCGGTCCCTCTTGGTCACTTGTTGGGTGACCAGTGGGAAATAAAGCAGGTGCTCTTTTCTGGTGACCCAGGCAATAGACCTTGCACGGAACTTGCTGTGCTGGAGAGACGTGTAAAGGCTGAAATCCATGACCTTCAGTCTAGCAGATCTCTATCTTAGTATCAGTCCATCCCAGGGGAGAGTTTGCTAGAAGGTTCTTGTTATCAACGCACTTTAATCTCATCCTACACCAAGCCCACAATGATATGCTAAGGAGAACTCTACTCTCCTGGGCACGACAGTGAACATTTTTCCTTGGTAGGTTTCAGAACGTGCTGAGGAATCTAGGCTGAACAACAGGAAAGGGGGAAGAAACGAGATTCTGGCCTGTCACTTGCTTTACTGGGATGCAGGATTTCTTTTGATTGGCTGAATCAGGTAAGAGTACCTGTATGGTCCTGGAGAGGGAGGGAGGGATCTTGAATCATCTCTCTGTCTTAGAGATCCTTATGAAATCCTAAAAGCTTCCCTCCATTTTCTTAGCCTTGGAAACCCATTTTACAAAATTATCACCTTTTACTCTCACAGTCTCAAAAAACTGAGACCTCAGCGTGGTAGAGATGTGGCAAGTGGCTTGCTGTGGTGTCACAGAACCTCATCACTGAACTTGCAGAATTGTGCCAGAAGAAGTGAGAACCAGTGGGAAGTGTCAAATCTTTTACAGCCATTAGCTCAGCTCTCCGTGGCGCATTCTGAAGGCAGACAAGGCATTTGCTTTCACATCTGACTTCAGATGATAGTCATCAGTGGAAAATAAATAGTGCTAAGTGGTTAAAAAAGAGGAGTAATAACTTTGGCAGTAATTCTGGCAACAGAGCAGTGAACCCCGTGAAGTACATCATTGAAATCTGAGTTTGAGCCGGACATGCTAATGTTAAATCAAGTGTCTTGTTGACTTGTGTAAAAGGCTGGTGGTGGTCAGCAGTTCAACAGAATAAAACTTGCAAAAGAAGAAAGAAAGAAAAATAACAGTATGATTTTGAACCATGTCTGTTTGTTGCATAGGCTCCTACCATGAGGTCACATTTACACACACAATTCATGTGTGGACGCTCTGGGGTTGGGAACTCCCCCTGTCGGTCAGCCATGTTTAGTTGTTCTATTGGGACAGGACTAGTAAGCTTAGTTGGATCATCAAAGTTTCAGTGGCATATCTTAGATGGGTCTCCTGACTCCTGGGGGCTGACGGTGGATGTTGGGACCAAGATCGGAACTAATTTGTTTGGCCTTAAACTTGAAATTGTCCCTGATGGTGGCGGTGAGAGTGATCATGGTGGTGATAAATGGATGAGGAAATCCTCCTGCTATCCAAGAAGTTTGGAAAGATGGGCCAGTCTCTTTGATCCCTCCCAGTTCAGCCCTGCCTCTGAAATGTTTGCTGTTAGACCGCTTTTTAAACTCTAGTCCAGCGATTGCAAAATAATCTATCTGCAAAGACCAGGTAGTGGAAAAGATGGAAAAGGTCCACTGGGAAGAGTCGGTGGTGGGTGGGGAACGTGCGTCCCATCTAAAGGAACAGCAGCAATGGAGTTCTACCAAACTCCTGGCACGTAGGAAGGCTGACTCAGTGTTGCCGTGGATTATCAGAGATTTTGGAAGGAAACTTGAGGGTTTAGATTAGTAAATGTAGACTCTTTTTACAGATGAACTATGAGCTCTTCTATCTTGTCAACTAAATCAAGTTGAAATGAAACATTGGGCCAGGCTAAGCACACTTTCTTGTAGCCAATTTGTAACTCTTGGGGACAGTAACATCTAAGCTGTGTATTACCCCCCTCGGAGGCAAGTCCTGGGACTCTAATTCCATCTCATTGTCCTGGCTTCCTGCAGTACAAGTTAAGAAAATGGGCTCTGAAGTTCCTACCTGTGATTCCAGTAATTCTTTAATGCTCGCTTCATATAAACTCCCTTTGAGGACAGTGAGGAGCAGAGTCTGCTGTTTGGCAACCTAATGATAAATGCAAACATGTTCAACACCTACTGTGTTTTATGGGATGAAAGAATTATTACTCTCATCTCATTTTTATAAGAACTCTCTACGATGGGGACTAAAATTGTCATCATCATCACATTCCTACTTACAGATGGGCAAACTGAGGCTTGGGGTTGGGAAGGATTTCCCTAAGTCGTCCAGTAAGTAGCAGCAATGAGATTTGGACTCTGGAGTCAGAAGGCAGAATCCAATTTTTAACCACCGCATTATGCCTTCTCCTGCTACATTAAGTGGATTTTTAGCTTCGATAGTCTCACTGAGTGACGACAACTCCTACTCCCAAAATAGCTTAAGGAGTCTGTAAGGACGCTTTCTGCTTTTGTAGAGCACAGGGGCATGGTCTTTGTCCCCATCCTTTGACAGGGTTTGCAGAATGTGTGGGACCCTTCTGATGACAGAAGAGGGAGATTTTCTTAATGCCTGGCTTGAGACCGGAAATGCCATTCCCTCTTCCCTATTGTTTTCTATTAGGTATTAACTGGAGATTAGCAAATGGAGTTTCAAGGTCAAAATTGTGAGTTTCACTTCCTTATAGACAAGGTAGTCTTTCTTAGGCCATGACCACAGAGGACAGCCTAACCAAGGGCAATCATCCCTATTGACGGAAGTGCTCCAAACTCAACCTGTGTGCAGATAATGTCACCACCATAAATGAAAGCGGTATGACGCAGCCAAGGAGTACACATAGATTTTGGCTGAGATGCTAACGCCAATTGATAGGCGGTGGCTTTTAGAATGAGCACTGTGCCAAGAAGGCTTTGGAAACCACATGTGAGTTCACCAAAGAGTGCTGTGATTGATTGGTCTTGTCTGCCCTGCCTCGGGATAGAGAAGCAGTGGCAGGTATGCTGTGCTTGCCATTCCTGGTGTAGTCTATTCGGATGGAAGAACTAAGACATCTAAGGCTTGGGCAGCTCAAAGCATATACGTTTTAATTTGTGATTCTGTCTTTTTCTGCCTCTTCCATTTCTGCTTTTTCTCAGGAGAGATGGCCAAACGCACCTTCTCCATGCTAGAGACGTTCCTGATCTTCCTCCTCGTGTTGATGACCGCTATCACAGTAGCCCTTCTCAGCCTCCTGTTTATCACCAGTGGGACCATCGAAAATCACAAAGGCAAGTTGTCATGGGCTCTCTTGGATGCTCTTCCTAGCCTGTGGGAAATTTCTTGATTACTGGGGACGCCAAGGCAAAGAACAGTGTCTGCTGATAATGCAGATAACAGGGCAGTTCAATGTGTACTTAAGCAGCCGGGATGGTCGTCTAACCTTTACATTAATTGCCTTTTCTGCATCGATAGCAATTTTTATCAAGCTTACCTTTGTCCACAAATAGCCAGTTGATAGGCATTATGACATGCATTTATTCCTCTCTCACTTTTCCACTGACCTAGGCCCAGTTCAGAATTCTTCAAGGCCCAGTAATGTGAGCATTTGCCCCAAGCCTTCTCTCTTTCTCTTTGCCTTTTCTTAGGCATCATCTCCTCTTGGGGACAAAAGGAAAATGACAGGCACACTGGATATTAATGAGTCTGTGGAAAGCTTTAGAGAAGGGAGCATTGAACTCAACTTCTTAGGAGGGCCACTCAAGTTCTGTAAATGATGTGGTGTGGGGAGGTGGGTGGGGTGGGTAGTAGTCATGGTGTCACATGGATGCAGATCTCCAGAGTTTTCAAGAGAAGCTGGAATGGATGATTTAGGCTTCTCCTGATGTATTAATGTTGGGAATTAATTTAGTCTTGGAAAACAATGTAGGCTACATTACAGGCAATATTGGGCCCCTGAGTCTTTGATGATCCCTACTTCGGTGGTGGGTCATACACTGGTAAACAAGTAGAGAAGAAAGGCGGGGGTTGAACACTTTGACCGAAGTAAAGGGAGAGCTGGTTTTAGACCAAATAGAGAAGGAGCCCAATATTTTTTACCTCCGTTTTCTCTCTTATGGCCTCTTTCTTCCAGTATATTCTCTAACATGACCCTGTGCTTTGAATTTCCTGCAGAGGGACAGAGATCCTCTGCTCTAGCAGTGTGCAGAGTAGGTGCATGGACTGCTAGAAAGGAAAGCATCCATAGGACTTCCTTAGTTTTAGCTCTTAAACTTGGAGAATCCAGAGGCTAAGATTCACAGGGTGATCAACAATTATGATAACTATTCTCATAGTAGGAGCTGCTGTTTGTTGAGTGGTTGCTTTGTGTCAAGCACTATGGTCAAGAGTCTACTTCCTTTTCCTCCTTAATTCTCATAAAACTTCTATAAAGGTAGGTGCTGGTCTTAGTATCATTTTCCAGATGTAGGACCTGAGACTCTGAGGTCCCAAAGGAATCGTCCTTGGCCATTAGACATGGTTTGCCTTTGGCTGGCACCCTGTTCCTACATGGTTATCAATAAAGAAAAAGAGCCTGCCTCCTTCCTTGCGATAATTGATGTCTTGTAGCAGATGGAGGCTTGCGGTTGAGAAAATACGGATTCTAACTTCATGTTGAATATGGATGAAAGAGCATCAGACCCTGAGTCAGAGGACCTGGGCTGGGCACCGGCTTCATCTCGTATTGTCCCTGAAATTGTAGTTCCATCACTTCTCTGGGCTTCGGTTTTATTATATGTAAAACTGAAGAGATGAGAGCCCCCCAATTCTAGGATCTCAGGGGAGTCAGCAGCCAGTCTCTTGACCAAGTACTTTCCTAGCACTAATGCCTGTGACAGTGGCATCTGTCGCCTTGGCCACCCTGGCTGTTGTTTGGGGTGGAAACAAACAAGCAAATAACAAGCATGGGTAACATATCTCAGTATATAAATAGAACTAAAGCTATATGCTGGCAATTAGTCTAAATTTATTGTTCAAAACAACCCTTGGGAGTAGAGTATTATCACCTCTATTTTATAGATGGGAATAATCAGGGTAGAACAGGGTAAGTGACTTGCTCAGCTAGTAGGTGGTAGAATTAGTTTTCAAACCCAGGCTATTTGGTTCTGGTACTTGCTCATGTAGTCTCTGTGCCATTCTGCCTCCCTTGATACTCTGTGTGTGTGTGTGTGTGTGTGGTCACATAGGACATGTGTGTGTACATGCACATATGCAGATGGTGATATGAGTAAAATAAGGTAGCACTATGCCGAGCAGACAGTGGTCTAGTGGGCATTCCAAATAAAAGATTTGAGAACGGAGAAGAGGGGGCAGTGTAGAGACAGTGGCATCACTGGACACAAGTGTTGGGCTGCCTCAGAGTGTGACGGAAACAAACCAACTCAGAAGGGAGCTGTGGGGCTTGGTTGCTGGAGCAGAGAGGAGGAAGGTCTCTGGATGGAGAGAAGAGTAGAGACCAGTCCCTGGAGGCTAGGGTTAGCAGGCTGTGCGCCAGGAACCTGGCACCTGGTTTGTTTGGCTGGAGGAGAAGAGCAGGGTGAGTGAGTGCAGAGCCGTGCGTTTGACGAGGAATGGCTTGTGATGAGAAGTTGAAGGATGTTTAATGCAGGCTTTGATTATTGGTCAGAAGTATCTCCAGTTCAAGAGAAAGACCCTTCTTAGGATTATTATCTACAACAAGTTCCTGAGATATTCCTTACCATATATTTTAGTTTGTGTTTTTATTTTTTTTTAACATTTATTTATTTGTGGGAGAGCATGAGTGGGGTGGGGGTAGGGGCTGAGGGAGAGGGAGAAGCAGACTCCCCACTGAGCAGGGAGCCCAACGTGGGGCTTGATCCCAGGACCCTGAGATCATGACCTGAGCCGAAGGCAGAGGCTTAACCCACTGAGACACCCAGGCGCCCCTTTACCATATATTTTAAATATAAGAGAATATATAGATTTTTCCTTAGGAACCTCAACCTATGTGTTCTAATTGATGCCAATAAGTAAGCAGACTGAGACGTTATCCCTGAAATATTTTATTCTGCTTTTAGATTCAGGTCTCCCGTCCACCCAGAGCTCCCCGGCCACCATGGGCTCCACAGCCAGTCAAGGCCCAGCACGCACCGATGGCACTACGACCACGCAGGCCCCTCCCGTGGTTAGCACTCCAGAGCCTCCTCTCTTCCAGAACTTCAGTGGCTACCATATTGGTGTTGGGCGAGCCGACTGCACGGGACAAATAGCAGATATCAACTTGGTAGGTCAATCATGGGCTCCTCAGGGAGAATGAAACGGGTAATGATATTCCTCGCATCCTATACTTATTCCAGATAATTTCATCATCATCATCATTTTCTTCTTCTCACTTTTTCATTGACGTCACTGCCGTCTAACACTATGACTATTGTGCTATAACGAGGGGCCATGTGTTCAACGGCATCTCCTTTGTAAAGTCGACTGGCCGTTTTTTTATGAATGGCAGGGGCAGGGCTGGCAAACTCACATACCACGGGGCACCGCAGAAGGAAGCAGGCCAGTGTAAGCGGATAAGTGTCTAGTGAATCCTCAGTTTGGGGGGCAGTGGGAAGTGAGGGGTACAGCCGGAAAGTCCATGGCTTTAGCAATATTGCCGTGTAGGGCTGCCCTATCTTAAAGGTTTTTCAAGAGAAGCGGGTCACCTCTGGATCAGAGACTGAGGATCTAAACCTCTCAGTTGGGAAATAAAGGCAACTCTAGTTCAAACTGGAAACCTAATGTGGGCCAGCACTGCGGAAGCCAAGGAAAAGGCTTCTGTGGGTCCGGTGTGGCCTTTTGGCTGCTGGACTGCAACTTCTTGATTGTGATGATGGGTGTATTCATTCATAGCTTCCATAGGAAGACAGAACATGGCGTTGTTTGATGAGATTTTTTTCTCATTCCTACCAAATAATCTTTAGATTCTAGGACTTGTTTCCCATTGTCTGTTCTGAGAAATAGCTCTGGAATGAGAACCCGAAGTGCCACTACTCCTGTGAGGGGTAAAGCAAGCAGTAGAGGAAGCATGCTGAAGACTTCGTGGGTGGGCTTTAGGACGTGGTGAGAAGGGGGGTTTGCGATGGGTACATTTGGACTGACTTAACTGAGGGATGGCCAACAAGGTAAAAGCCAGCATGAGGTACCCTCAGTGAAGACTATTTAATCACAAGGAAACCATTTTCTTAAGAAAAAGAAAGAAAGAATATCACACACCAAACAACCAAAAGGAAGGGAGCCTTCAGTCTTCAGGACATTCTCGGAATGTGGGATGATGGTAGGGGAACTACTTCCTTCCATAGTATCTCAGGCAGGAGAAAAAAATTGAAAACCCTGGAAGGTCGCTGACATGGTAACAGAATTCCAGAGCCAAGCCCCTTCCTTGCCCATAGGCCTGTGAATGTCTCCTGCCAAACTGATGGTTACTTTGCATTTTTCCACACAGAAGAGTAAAGTCTCTCTTATGATGTTGGCTTTATTCTCGAAAACACATATTATTATCCCAGGTGGAATCACAGTGTCCCATCCACTGTGTTGTACTTCACCTTTCCTAAGTGGTCTCGTCCTGTGTGGTTGTACCCGGCTCTGGTGGCGGGGGAGTGAGGCAGAACAGCTCTGACTTCTCTCTCCTCCTCTCTAGATGGGCTACAGTAAGACTGGCCAGAACGCACGCGGCATCCTCACCAGGCTGTACAGTCGAGCTTTCGTCATCGCGGAGCCCGATGGGTTAAATCGAATGGTGTTTGTCAGTGTCGACATAGGCATGGTATCCCAACGCCTCAGGCTGGAGGTGAGTGGCTGAGGTGATGATGAAAGGACATGTTTAAAACAAAAGCTCTGAGTGGATGTGACAGGAGCTAAGCCCTCCTGGCTTCTCATCTGGTGAGTTTCTACTCTGCAGAAGCCTTTGGACAATCGGCCTGCGAACAATTCCAGTCTCAGTCACCTTGGTCAAACTTGCAAACTTGATGATGACAGCTCATCGTCGCTATTACTGTGTTTTGCAAGCTTATTATGTTTGAGGCAACCTTCACATCCATTCTCTTATTTAACCCCCCTCGTTAGAAGTCAGAGAGCTCCGACTCTGACTTAGTAATCCTTCCCTCAAGTTTTTAGACAACTGAGATGCAAGAGGCCAGATGAGAAGTAAAACACAACATTGAAATGCGATTGGCCATAAATGGCTGGAGTTGGGTGAGAGGGAGATGGGGGTCTCATTATGCGATTCCGATGATTTTTGTACATGTTTTAAAATTTCCGTAATAAAATGTAAAAAGAATACAATGTTAGTTAGCTTTCTTACTCTTTAAGCTCTATTGTAGGCAATGGTGGGCTCTTTTGTGATTTTCCCAGAATTGAGACTGTATTACCCCCTCTGTGGGGAAGGCTGGGTTTAGCAGAAGGTGCCTGTGGGTTCTGGGCAGGCAGCAGTAAGATGTGCAGAGGGAGAGGGATACATAGGGTGATGGGTATGGCCTTCCAGCTCTGTCTTTCTAAGCCAGGTTCTTGGCCTTGACTCAGTTGTATTGTCTGCATGGGATCAGGTCACAGAAAGAGAACGTGCTCTTTCAATGTCTGCTCCCATATTGATGAAGGTGAGCAAGAAGGGAGTCTGGAGCACCCAGGAAAGTGAGCATTAAATGTCCACTTCAGGGTCATGTTCTGTCAGCCTCTCTTAAACACTGTTCCTCCTGTGTCATGAAGTGGCCAGTGACAAGGATGACAAGGGGGACCTCAGAGCGTTTCTCCAATGTCACCTCCCCCATCTCTTGACACCCAAGGATCAGGGGATCCCATGTTCTCCCCACTCCTACATTTACAAGAAAACTATGAGATGGGTTTTTGTTATTCCCACTTTATGGATAAAATAATGGAGTCTTAGAAGAGGCAAGGAACTTTCCCAAATTCACACAGTTAGCGAATGGTAGAGCTGGGTTCTGAACACACGTATGCCTGATACCAGAGCCCTCGTTCTTAAAAGTGACATTATTCTATTATCATGGAGGAAAAAATGCATTGGCCACCTGTTTTCTGCACGGTACTTTGCTGGTCACTTAGGAGGCACATAACCTGAGTCGTAATCCACATTTCCTACAAGTTCACTACCCAGTTGTGGAGAGAAGGAAGGGCCGTAATAGAAAACACACTCTCTGTAACTCACTGGAGTAACGTATGGTGCGTAATGGCGGTGCGTTCGTTATCTATTACCGAGTAACAAATAGTCCCAGAATACAATGACTTAAAACAATAGACGTCATCGCACATTCTCTTGGTCAGGAAATCAGGACTGGCTTAGATGTGTGGTTCTGGCTTAGGGTGTCTTGGAATCAAGGTGTTGACAAAGGCTGCAGTCATTGGAAGCCTTGACTAAGCCACCTCTAAGATGATTCCCTTGTGTGGCTGCTGGCCAAAGGCCTCTATGCCCCACTTTCTGTATCATTGCAGCCCAGAGCAGCTGCTCTCCCCAGAGTCACTACCTCAGGGGGGAAGCCACAGTGCTCCTCCTAACCTGGGTCAGAAGTTGCACTTCTAGCCCATTCTGTCCATTGGAAGTGAGTCACCAAGTCACACCGAGGGAGGGGAAAGAAAGCAAAGCGTCCCCTCCAAAAGGGAGGGCTAGCAAGGGACTTGTGGACACACAGTGGTTTAAAACCACCACAAGGGGGGGGCGCCTGGGTGGCTCAGTGGGTTAAAGCCTCTGCCTTCAGCTCGGGTCATGATCTCAGGGTCCTGGGATCAAGCCCCGCATCGGGCTCTCTGCTCAGCAGGGAGCCTGCTTCCCCCTCTCTCTCTGCCTTCCTCTCTGCCTACTTGTGATCTCTCTCTCTGTCAAATAAATAAATAAAATCTTAAAAAAACAAACAAACAAAAAAAAAACCACCACAAGGGGACTGGGAAGCAGGGAATAATCTCATGACGGACGTGACATGTGAATGGGCAGGATTTTATTTTATTTCAATTCCAGAATAGTTAACAGTATTGTTATATTATTTTCAGGAGTAAAAATACAGTGCTTCCACAATTCTGCACATGACTCAGTGTGCACCATAGTGAGCGGGCTGCTCGTGGCCTTGACCTAGGCCACCCCTCCCCCTCTGGAAACCCTCTGTTTGCTCTCTATAGTTAGGCGTCTGTTTTTTGGTTTGTCCTTTTTTTCTCAGTGTTTGTTTGTTTTGCTTCTTCCATTTCACCCATGAATGAACTCATCTCTTTCTCTGACCGACTTCTTCCACTGAGCATTATGCCTTCTAGATCTGTCCGTGTTGTTGCTGATGGCAAGATTGCATTTTCTAATGGAATATTTTATATATAATGTAATATATGATGTATATATATGCATCTAATGGTATATTATTCCATATATATAATGGAATATTGTATATATTATATACACATGTATATATGTATACCACATCTTCTTTTTCTGAATGGGAAGAATTTTAAATGGCTAACATGGGGAGAAAGAGCTATCAAATGGAGAGACGGTGTGACAACATGGAGACACAGGGAGGAATGTAGACTGTCCTTTGCAGGGACATGGATTCCTGCCATTAGGACATGTGGGCATGTAATTGGGAATACACTTGGAATGTATGCTGCTCATAATTGTAGAGGGCCTGGGATGCCAGCTTATTTTGACTTCGGTAAGCTCTGGGGTTTCTTTGAAAACTGCTGAGTGGAGGAGTAACACAAACCCAATTTTGCTCCAGGATGAGGCATCAGGGATGTTTGATGCCAGACTGGGGCAGGAGGTGAGGACACAAATTGGCGGCTCGGTTCCATGAATGCCAAGGCTGTACCGGTGAGGGTCCGCGTGGGAAACCGGCAATCATGCTCAGGTGTTTCAAATGCAGGAGATGGAACCCGCGGGAGCTCTCCGGTGCGTCGGAAGGCTGAGCGAACTAGAAAGGGAAACTCGGGTGGCAAGAAGGATTTCAACTCTGCCTGGAAATTTCTCCTGTGCCACGTGAGGCTGGCACAAAGGTCTTAAATCAATGCGTGGCAGCGAGACTCCATGGCAGTAGGAGGTCACATTAAATGCTAGTGAGATTGGGGAGTGAATAGAAATAAAAGCTGACACTTGCGTAGTCCCCACGATGAGTCGTGCCCTGATTACTTCATATGTATGAATGGGTTTAATCCTCCAAACATCCGAAGGAGGGAGGTGTTATCATTATGTTATTGGACGGATTGGGAAAGCGAGCTGCAGGGGATTGAGTGACCCATGCACAGGAAGCCAGCTAGGAAGTGGCTGGGCGGGGTGCACCCACAGCCTCTGGGCGTCAGCGCCCACACTCGCTACCACTAAACTTCCTGCTTTCCCAGAGCGCCGGCCGTGCTTCTCACGGGGAAATGGTGGGGTCATGAGAAGAAACGGAAGACTCAGAGGTGGACTTTTGGGGGTGGTGTCCAAAGGTAGACAGTTGGTTTGCAGAGGCTGTGAAGTCAGCAGTCCACCCAGCATTTGTCCAGCTCTTCCAATTTCTACTTCCCCATGCGGTCTGAGACCCAACCGGGAAGGCCTACCAATGAACCCACTTCTCTCACCCAGATGAACCCAAGGGCAGGCGTGAAAAATAAATGTAGCAAAACAGGTGCTCTTAGGCTGCTTTAGAACATCTGGTTTTAAGCAGATTCTCAGTCTCAGCTGTAAGGATTGATGAAATTTCCAGCATGGAACGAAGGTTCGGGAAGATCCCTGAGCAGTGAGGCAGGACAGGAGAACAGAGCGGCTTGCCAGATCTTTCCATGGCAGGAACTCAGGTGTATCAGTATTAGGAAACTGAACACAGAGGGGTGAGATGTAGACCCTCGGACAACTTCTTCACTCTGTTCAAACCCTCTCCTCTCCTGACGTAGGGAACTAACTAATTATAATGGTTACCCGCAGGCATTTTCATTAGATGATTGAGTTTTTCTTCCCTTCTTCTTGAAGTCCCATGTGTTGGACTTCATATTGGAGAGTGTAGTTTAGGATACAATGGCTGTGAGCTGTTTGTAGTCTTTTTTTTTAAACATGAGAGCCATAATTTCTTTTTTTTGAAGATTTTATTTATTTACTTAACAGAGAGAGAGAGAGATCACAAGTAGGCAGAAAGCCAGGCAGAGAGAAAGGGAGCCAGGCTCCCCACTGAGCAAAGAGCCTAATGTGGGGCTTGGTCCCAGGACCCTGAGATCATGACCTGAGCTAAAGACAGAGGCTTAACCCAATGAGCCACCCAGATGCCCCGAGAGCCATAATTTCTATCTGCTTAAAGGCTTGATTCCTGAGAGAATAAGGAGATAGACACTGACTTCTATAATCCTAACATCATAGTTCTCTGGGAATAAAAATGGGCGTAGTGCCAGGCTTGTAGTGAGTTTTGTGGTACCCCCTCAGTGACCTTTCCACCCGCTCCCAACAGACACCTCTTCCTTGTGAGTGTCGTCATCACTATGTGGAAGAAGGTAAAAGAGCGACGAAACATGTGGGCTGGAGTAGGGTTCCACAGAAACGACATGGAAACTTCTTGGGATGGAGAATGTGGGCTACTTGGTCAGAGGGAGTTAGTCTGGTCATGTCCTATTTCCTCTCCACATTGGCTTGCAATAACCTAGCAATCAGCGTTTGGGGCCTGGATTGGTTCACGAGGCAGGATGGTTCGTAAGGTCTTCCTCATTCAATGGCCACACGAGTGGATGAGGGTGTGTAGCTCTTCACCTAAAACAGAAGAGGTTGGATGGATGTGTTTATGTGTGTTGGGTACACGGTACCGAAGTTCCCGCCATGCCCTTTTGCTCCGGGGTGTTGTTGGAACTGGCTTGGACCAGCTCACAAGGGCTGACTGTTAAATGTTCAGGAACTTGCTAAGCTCGTTGTTAGATTTTGGTAGCTTGAAATGGACTGTGGTGGGGGTATTTATACGTCAGAAACTGGTGAACAATTCGAAGGGGGGGCTTTCGTTTCTGTCTGCATGACAGCTTCCCAGCACACTGCCTTCTGTGCCATTCTCGAGGTAGACAGGACTGTGAATCAAAAAAGGCCTTCTTGTTTTGCTAAGCCCAGATTTGGATTCAGAATCCTTCTCAACACATTGCATCTGAGAGCAGCTACCAGTAAGTAGGACTGGGTCCTCATGTAAGTGGTATTCACCGTCCCTGCCAGAGGAGAGACTTCATCACTGTGCCTGGTATTAGGTGATAGTGTCCTATGTCGAGGAAGGTTGGTTTGGGTTTGACACTTAAAAAAAAAATTTATTTATTTACTTATTTGAGAGAGAGCGAGTGTGCAGGGGGAGGGGCAGAGGGAGAGAATCTTCAAGCAGACTCCCTGCTGAGCGTGGAGCCCAACCAGGGGCTCGATCTCAGGACCCTGAGATCATGACCTGAGCCGAAACCAAGAGTTGGAACTGACAGGTGCCCGTGAGATCATTTAAATGATTTTTGGCCTAAAAAAAGGTCAGAACATCTTTCCCAGGGAAGCCACAATAATACCAACTTTCAGATTCAGAAACAGGTGCCTGGCACCATCAGGGATTTCTCTCTGTCGTTTTCTCGACGTGTCTATGCCCCACAAGCACACGTTATCACACGTGATGAGATGTTCACGGGCTGATGAGTTCGGTGCGTACTCCCCGGTCTCTCTGTGTGCATTATCTCCTGCTCCACAACGAGTCATCTGGAAAACTCAGGGGCCTAAACCCACACTCGTCCTGTCCTTTCTGTGGCTCCGGAATCCCAGGGGGCCGGGCTGGGTGATTCCGACTGAGGTGAGAACTGCAGTCCCACACCTTCCTGCTGTGTCGTGAGGTGGGACTCCCTGGCTGCCTGAGGCTGTGGGTGTTGGAAGGCTTCCTGAGGTGAAGGGTCAACGGGTCTGAGGGGTCGGCAAGCTGGTGCTGACGAGAGGGTTCCTTTCCACATGGGGCATCCCCACAGGGCTGCTGGGGTGTCCTTACATCATGGCAGCTGGCTTCCCTCAGACCAGTAAGTGTGACCCCATGTGTCCGGTTTTGAGTTCTTCATTTTGGGCCAGGAGGCAGTAAAGAGGCCTGGACACACTCTGTTCACGCTCTGTTCACTTTTCCCTGTGTACTGCCTGACCAGCTCAGGCTCTTCATTTTAAGCCTCTGATGGAAGATGACGTCTTTGAAAGGTGGTTTTCCTCGCCGACATCCGTCACTCTCTCTTTCCCTACCCAGAAACATTTTTCTTCATGGCACTCACCCCTGCATGATCTAATGTAATATTATACACTTCTCTGTTTGCTCATTTCTCTCCCATTAAGAAAAAAAGCTTCGTCAGGGTAGGAACCTCACCTATCCCTAGTGCTCAGACCAGTGCCTGGACGCTAACACTACGTGTGGAATGATGAATAGGAAAGTGCACTCTTTCTATCGAGACACGGATCTGCATTGTGGCCCTGCTACTTAGGAGAGCAGCGGGCATGGTATTTATCTTCTGGATACTTCCGTGTTCTCAGCTGGAAGCTTAAAAATACCTACCTGTTGGGGTTGTTACAAAGATTCTAAAACAACATAATGCGTGTGATACCCAACCCAGTGCTTGCACAGAGCGAGGAGCCATGAAACGTAGGCCTTGGCAGGGACCGTTGGTGTTGACGTTGTTACCATGGCAATGCGCTCCCGCCTAGAGGGAAGGGCCACCCGCCAGGGATGTCATTGATAGGGACTGGCGATGAGCCTCTCCCGAGCCTTTTCCATAGTGAGTTGTTCTGTTATCCCTCTTCTTAGTTCTAATTTTTTTTTCTTTTCTCCTGTAGGTCCTGAACAGGCTGCAGAGTAAATACGGCTCCCTGTACAGAAGGGACAATGTCGTCCTGAGTGGCACTCACACTCACTCGGGGCCAGCAGGGTTTTTCCAGTACACTGTATTTGTCATCGCCAGCGAAGGGTTCAGCAATCGAACTTTTGAATACATGGTCACTGGCATCGTGAAGGTAGGCACAGAGGGTTCAGGAGTGGTTTGCTGTGATAGGGAGAGAGTCCTTCTAGGATCTCGGGCTGCGCGTTTTTGCTCCTACCTTGCCCCCGTTCCTGATTCCCATGTAGCTTCTGGTCTCCCAGGCACCGACCGATGGAGAGAGGACAGTTCTCTGCAGGAAGCCTCATGCCGTTGTCTAAAGGGACAGTCATAATCTTTGTAACACAGAGGGCCCCACACGGTCTGTTCTCTGCCCTAAGTCACACAGAAAGGAACCCATCAAGGAACCTAAAGTAATTACGAGTAATTGTAATCTTGCCTCCTATTTCCCAGACACAATGACGGGGGATCCTGTTTCCACACACACCCTCAGTGCTCACCCACATCCTCAATGGTCACTGCAGATGACATGGTGCTCCTTCCAGAACGCCCAGACCCCCTGCTGTTGCTGGCTTGGGTGCCTCTTACTCCTCTCTCCCCAGCTCTCACACAGGATCCTTTCTAGTGTTCTCCTCATGCTTTCGCCTTTGAAATGTAGTTTCTCTCTACTTTTTCTCATGAAGCTACTCTCTAAGCCCAGCAATCTAGTCAGCAAAAGCAGACATATCTTTTTTTTTTTTTTAAAGATTTTATTTATTTAATTGAGAGAGTGAGAGTATGAGAGAGAGAGAGAGAGATCATGAGCAGGTGGGAATGAGTAGAGGGAGAAGCAGGCGCCCTGCAGAGCAGGGAGCCCGATGTGGGACTTGATCCCAGGACCCTGCAATCACCTGAGCCGAAGGTGGATGCTGAACTGACTGAGCCACCCAGGCACCCCCAGACATGTCTTTACAACAATGTTTTCCAGATTCTGCCCCGCAGTTCATGCCTGGCTGCGTGAAATCAATTTCGTGGGTCGCGATACGCCCTGAGATCAGAGATCAGATCAGAGAGTATCATGGTGCCAAACACATCATAAGGATGTAGTTCATCTTGTGGACGTCTGTTTTAGGACACACATGTCGAGGGATATTAGGCTGTGATGAAGAATATATTGCTTATTGTGGTTTTGAGTTAGAAAAGTTCCAAAAAACTTTGCCTCAGAGGGTGGGGTGGATGGAGTAGGTATGGAGGAGAAACGCCTACATGTTACCAATTCTGGTCCAGTGCTGGGGGAGTCGCTCCCAGTTTGGCCCCCTGAACCTGAGGACAGTGCCTGACATGGGCGCCGCAGGACACTCAGGTGCCCATCGGTAGGAGCTCCTGGGTTCCCAGCAATTCTGTGTCTCAGCCCCGAGGCCAACGGCACACCCCCAGAGTGACTGACCCTCCCTAGCAGGGGCAGCTTGGAGACCAAGGAAACTGTCCACAGCACACTTGTCTTTGTATTGACTAAGTCCGTACCCCACCAGGATTTCTAAATTCACAACTCGCTCACGCTCTCTCTCTTTAACCCACAGAGCATCGAGATGGCGCACAGAAATATGAAACCAGGCAAAATCTTTATCAACAAAGGAATTGTGGAAGGTGCCCAGATCAACCGAAGCCCTTCTTCCTACCTTCAGAATCCCGAGTCAGAGCGAGCCAGGTGAGGGGATGGTTGGAATCAGATCATGTGTTTCCTTTAGCCGTCAGTCACAAAATCTAAGCACACAGTTGTTCCTCAAGGAATGGGGTGGGATCCTGAAGGAGTATTCAAACTAAGATACATTTGAAGCATGCTTAGAGTTTAAGAGTGGCAGAAATACCAAGTCAGGACCTGCACACAAGTCTGGGTGCTTTGCTGGCTGTTGGGGGGGTGTAGGTGTCAATGCCAATGTCGGAAGGACTCCCGGCTTTGAAATTGGGCACGACGCTGGTCTCATCTCAGCTTGATCTCTTCCAAACCGTGTGACCTTTGGTTATTTACTTGTTCCTAATCTATGGGCTCTCAGCCTGTTCTTTAAAGTGGAGATCAAAGTGTGGGCAATATATATTTGTTAAATTAAGGAATAGCTCCTTTTATTATGTCATTCAGAAGAAATCATCTTCGTCCAGGTGGCAAGAGAAAGGACATAAAAGGATAAAGAAACTGGAATGAAAAGCAAGAAATAAAACTAGCAGAGTTGAATGGAACAACTAAGGGAGATAGTTATTTGTCTTTTTTTTTTTTTAACGTGCTGAACCAGGTCTGCAACAGACGAGAAGCACTTGCCTACTACAACATAGGAAAAGAGTATTTCCGTTTTGATGTGACCGCTTAACCTTTTACATTTGTCTGTGTACTTTTCAGTAGATTTCAAAGGAGCTGATTTTTAGAAAACATAATCTGACACCCCTTGAAAGGACATGAAAGAACCGCTTTACGCTGCAGGTCACGAATGCTTTTCATTTTGCATAGTCCCTGCTATTTTTAAGAGATTCCATTAGAATTTAATCTGAGTAGAAATTTCAAGGGCAGATCCTTTTTGTAAGAAATACCAGTATGTTATTGAAGATCACGTGTACGACATAGAGATGCACACGTCACCTCTCGTTGGCTGGCCTGATGCCTCTGACTCTGGTGGCATTTGCAAACCATTTCTTTAGCAGAGGAATGGGGTCCCTGGTGTGGTTCGTGAGACTGTCAGCCTGTCAGGGTGCCTGGCTTACGGAAAGGCGTTTTGGTTTCTGTGTCAGCTTCTACTGCTGGTCACACAGGAGGGCCAGGCTCTGATATAGAAGTGACTGAGTTTCTTTGTTTGGCTGACTAGGTATTCTTCAAATACTGACAAAGAAATGGTCGTCCTAAAGATGCAAGATTTGAATGGAGCTGAACTGGGCCTCCTCAGGTACTCTGTTCACCTTTTTTTTTCTTTTTGGTTTTCATTCTGTCTGGATAACTTTCCTGAATCCTGCGGAGGGAAAGGGGGGAGGGAGAGACTAGAATCGTGGCAGAAGGGGTTGAGAATCTATTGAGTGGTTAAGAGTCCAGATGTGGCAATCAGGCTCATCTGGGATCCAGCCGTGGACCCCGGGGCAAGATTCTCAGCTTCCCAGGGCTCAGTTCCACAGCAGGAAAACAGGGTAAGTTAAAGGATGATGTAAATGGGGGAACTGCGTGCAGAAAGCAGCATAGCATCTGGCGTGTGATGTAAGAATTCAGTCAATGCTAGTGCTTGTTCCTCTCTCACGATGTCATATACGGGACTTCCCCCCTGTAATGAGATGCACCACTCTCTCTGGGTAAAATGAGAAAATGCTCTGACCGACCAGGCATGGGATGGTGGGTTCGAGATGATTTACCTGTGTTTTCCTACAAGAAAGAAGTGACATCTAACGTAGGACAGTGCTAACTAGCGATGGAAACAGAATCAAGGCAAAAACTACAGCTTGGCATGGATTTGAGTCCCATTTTATATGTAAGAGAACATGGATTTTGTTTTCTTCAAAAAGAAGGCATTTGCATTCACGTGTGAATTTGGTCCCTGCAATCGGACAGTCTCGGCTACTGGATGGGTAACAGTGCCGATGCCTTGATTCCAAGTGATCGAGGATGCCCAGTGGGAGCACAAGATGGCGCACGGGCCCTGCGGTTAAGTGGCCTGGGGTCACTCTGGGTTCTCATTGTGATGAGCTATGTGACTTTGGCTAAGTTACTAAACTGCTCTAAGTCTTGATTTTCTTACTTTCAAAATGTGGGATAAGGTGAGCCCTCAAAATGTTGCTAATAAGTGTTAGTGAAGGCAGTACGTGAAAGTTTCTATGGAAGTCAAATTCACAGTTAATTAAAAGTAATAAGTAATAAGAGGTGAATGAAAAAGTAATAAGAGGTGAATGAAAACATGAAAGACCATGACCAGGACTGGCACTATAACTAGTTGGGGGGGTAGCCTGGTGGTACAGTGTTCTAGTGTTCATGTAGGTTTTAGGACTTGAGTTCAAATCCTAACCTTCTACTTACTAACCCTGAGGCCTGGGGGAAGTAACCTACCTACTTACACCTCAGCCATTCCATTGAAACTCATAGGATCGTTTCAAGACTAAATGAGGTAATACTTGCAAAGAACGCCATTACTGGCTTATCAGAGTGCTTGACATTCTTAGCGTTGGAGTTACTTCTTTGGGTTTCAGGTGAGTTCACTAGAAAGTCCCTGATAAAATAGTCTTTATTTTCCAGGCTGACATAATAGGAGTCATCCATCCATTAATGATTAATTCATCTACTGATCAGTGCCCCCGGCCCAGTGTTTCACTCAATAGACTTTCTAAATATCAGGGCTGCGACTGTGTGCTGGGGGTATGAATAAGGCATGGTTCCTATCTGGAAGGTCCTATCCCTGACCAGTGGGATGATTGGGGCAGGGGACAGAGACAGACAGACAAGGAATCATAACATAAATCACATGGTCACAAATGTTACCACCTGGGCATGAATAAATGCTGTGGGAATTTGAAGGAGCTGGCACTGATGCGGGAGCAACGTGGAAGGCTTCATAGAGAAAATGACGTTCACATTGGATCTGAAGGACCCGGGGGATTTCTCACGGAGTCCTGAAAACACGGTGAGCTGTGAGGCCGGAGTATGGGTGACTATCAGACAGGGGGCTAGGGATGAACCTGAAAAGGTGAGCTAGTTCCAGACTGTGAGTCACGCTGGTGGGACATTTGGTGCAGAGACCATCAGGACACAAGCGTGTCATCTGTGACTAGTAAGAGAATTCCACATTTATTGGGAGAAGAAGGACCATCATTCCTTGTCGTTTCTGCCTAACTCCTGGCCGGAAGACTGAGACCGTTCATGATTCCCTTTTATTAGTTTCCGAATCATTTAGCAATGCCAACGGAAAGCTAAAACATGTTATCCTTTTGACAGATGTTCTTTGCTTCCTTGCATATGACTATATGACATATCTAGAAGTCTCAGGGTCAACTGTCAAGGTTATAACAGCTCTTCTCCATCTGCTAGGCGTTAACACAGTGCAATAACTTTCTATTGTTTTCGTAGCTGCCATATGTTCTCCGTGATGTAATTGCTCCAGCAATTGCTTCTTGTTGCATCATGATAATTGGTCTTTGAATGCATTAAAAATGATCCAAAGCATAAAGTCAAGTCTGGGCTGCTCAGTAACTCAGCCGCCACACGTAGGTGCCTGCTGTTAGGCAGACTCCCAAGGTAGGAGGAGTCTGAATCTCAGATTTGCAGAGCATGGGTATCATCTAGTTCAAAGGTCAGCTATGGCCTAGAAAGGGGATGCAATCTGTCTGTTATCATGGCCGAGACTGTTCTCTTTGCACTGAAAATCATATTGAAGCCCATAATTGATTCTCTGCTACTTTCATTTTTGTTTTCATTTCTTCATTCCCTAAGTCTGCCCTGGGTACCTACTATGTGGCATGCAGGACTCCCCAGTCCTTGGAATGGTGCATTTCCTGACTATGAAATCAGGAATCAAATACCTTGGAACCAAATCCCCATGCCTGTGCTCCTTGAGCAAATCCTTTAGATTCTCAGATACTCAATTTCCATATTTCTCAAATGTGGATCTAATATCTTCAGGCTATTAGTTACTCATGTGTTCATTGAATATTGTAGAGTATATGTGTCCTGAACTCAGCTAGCACTATAGATACACTGATGAGCAGAAATAGATGGGAGTTGTTGCCCTTACAGAATTTATAATCTCCTGGTAGAGACAAAAGGTATCCAAATAGTCATACAAATAATTATAATTGGGTTATAACTGTATGATTATATAATTATAATTGGGTTAAATGTTATGAAAGGAAGGTATGTGCAGCTCTCTTAAAGGGACTTGACCTGGTTGGGGAGACTGGGAAAAGATTCCTTAAGAAAGTAACAATGGAGCTAAAAACCAATGGAAGGGTGAGAATTAAAGTGCAAAATGGGGGAGGTGGCTGCAGGTGGTGGTGGTGAAGGAACATTTACGTAGATGGAGAAGCATGTGCAAAAGTCCTGTGGTCCATTTTAGGAGCTGATAGAAGGTCTGTGTGGCTGGAGTGCAGGGGAGAGTGTGTTGTGAGTCAAAATGAGTAGTAGAGATTAAATGCTATGATAAAGGTTTTGGTCTTTACATCAGGAGGAAGGGAAAATCATTAAAGTGTTTTAGTTGGGGTTGGGAGATGGATGCTCTTGAAGGGTTAGGAAGAGTGGTGACCTGAAAAATGGGATAGAATTATGTGTGTGAACCTATTGCATAAGTCATTAAGTTCTTTGCATTCATGAGGGCACCATTTGCTTTGGTTGGCCTATCTATGCCAGGAAAGTGTTTCTTTTTGCCTGACGCTATCTCATACAGAAACAGTAAATGATTTGTCTCCAGATGTGGAGGACATGTTTGGGACGTTCTGAATTCTGAATTAAAATGGAAGCTGGGTGGCATTCACAAAATCCACTTTGGGGCGGCTCTGGAAGGCACCCCAAAGAAGGAGTCTGTCCTCCAATGGGGAACACAATGTTAAGTCTTGCGAGATCCTGTTGGAACAGGACACCATGGGAGAGAGGGAACTCTGAAGGGAGAAAACCAGCTAAGGTTTCAAATGTCTGTACCCACAGGAAAGTCATAAGGGTGGGCAGATAATCTGAAGGGCAGCTCTGGTTGGTGGCGAGCCACTTCTCCCAGTAGCCCTTGCACCTGAGGCTCTGGATGTTAGTGGGGTGGGGTCTTGGGGTATATGGGGGGCCAGGCTCATTTTCCTCAAGCTCCAGGCACCAGCACAGGCTTGGTCTCCCTGCTCTTCCCTCTCTCCCCTGTCAGGTTCTCCTCCTTCAGCTTATAGGAGGGCCACGGACTCTCCTCTTCCTTTTCTTATCTTGTCAGCCCTGTTGGGCTCTGTCCGGCATGGCTTCTCGTCACCAGAGCTGTGAGGAAGGTCTAAGCAAATTTCTGAATGATTGCTCAACCCCCTTGTGTTTTACACACTGAAGACCTTCTTATTCTTGCAGAAAGGGCTGGTGTGAGGGGGTTCTTTCTAAAGTGTTTTTTGTTTATTTGTTTGTTTGTTTGTTTGTTTTTTGGACAGAGAGAGAGATCACAGGTATGCAGAGAGGCTTGCAGAGAGAGAGGGGGGGTTGCAGGCTCCCTGGCGAGCAGAGAGCCTGATGTGGGGCTTGATCCCAGGATCCCAGGGTCATGACCTGAGCCAAAGGCCGAGGCTTAACCCACTGAGCCACCCAGGCACCCTGAGGGGGTGTTACAAAACAATAGGATGATTTGTTCATCCCATTTGAATAATTGGTGTACACACTTAGAGAAGCCCGATTTATGACATTAAGCTAATTTATTTGGATGACGGTGACTTATAGAACTTGGTTGTAGGGTGTGTGTTCATGTGTAAATCTTCTCTACCGTCTGTGAGCATGACTTCTTGAACGAGCAGGTCTGTCTGTTCTGCCTTCTGTGTTCGCCCCTTAGTCTCCTCACCCCATTCACGGAGCAAACAAGGAACGCTCAGTGACTGCCTTTCACCAGCCATTCTGGACTTCTCCTTTCTCCACTTCCTCTCATCTTTGTTGGCACAAATACCTTCTCCATTAGCGTCAACTCTGGTTTGTGAAACCCCACTCTCTATTTCTAGGTCCTGAATTTCTTCTTCCTGTTCCGCCTCATCTATGTTGATGCTGTCTTCTTGCTCCAACTTCCTGTCAGTGCACTTGTACTGTTCCTCTCCAGTAGAGGATAGGCCTAGGGCTGTGTGGTGAGCGATTGTCCTGCATCTGGTCTGTCCCTGTTTAAAGTGAAGCTCCCTACTAAGCACTCTTTGATGACAAGGGTGATGATAGTTGACTGGTGACAGATATAAATCATGCTTGTTAATTTGAATTGTTAAA